GGCATCCACTGATGTGCCAACAGTTCCATTGTAAAGGGCCTGGCCTTGGACTGGCATAAGCTGTGCAAAGTCACCTGCAAAAATCATATTAATTCCACCAAAGGGTACATCCATATTGTTTCTTCCTTTGGCCAGTTGTGCACTTATTTTATATAGCTCATAACATGAGATCATCGACACTTCATCTAGAAAAATATAGTCTACACCATCTAGACGAGATCTGACCTGTGCCATAGTTGAATTCTCATTATGGTTTCTTCGGGAATCACTTTTTACACCTAAAGCTGAATGATATGTTGAGCCATTCAATAGAGCAGCAGCAGATCCAGTCGGTGCCAATATCATAATTCTATGTGCCTCATTACGTTTATCAAAGAGGGCTATTAATGACTTTATAACCTGAGATTTTCCTGTTCCACCCATACCTCCCAGATACATTTTAAGTTGCTCACTTTCTTTCATAGTTGCATGGTTGGCCACAATTCGGAATGCTCTTTCCTGCTCTTCATTCAAACTGAATGTTTGGGCAATGTCATCTATCATTTTCTGTTCTTCTTCTTTCTTTGCTTTGAATTTTTTGTCCAAGTAGCTGATATCATCTACAACCACTTCATTTTGTGATGTCCCATTTCTTTCTTTATCTGCTTTAGCCACTGGAAGGTTCTTTGAACATGTTTCAAGAAAGAGTTTCTTTAGTGACTGTACAAGAACATTCCACTGAGATCCAGTTCGTTCTTTTTCTGGCTTGAAGTTTACATCCACTGGATCAATATTGCCAATGCATGGATCAAGCCATCCTGCATTTTGAACTACATTCTCAATTCTCTTCATTTCATGAAGCTTCTGATTATTGATGCTATTGGGGTCTCCCAACATATACAGCGATTCATCAACATCCAATGGACCATCTTCACCAAAGTCAGGAAAGTTAGCATCAAGTTTGCCTCCAGTGTCATCCCATGAGCCCAGTATTCCTTCTCTTTCACCTTTCTTCTTCATCTGTGCAGAATAGTCATCTCTGGCATCATTACATTCATACTTGATATTGAAATTATTCATAAGCTCAAGTTGTCTTGCTGAAAATGAATAGCCACAAAAAGCTTCATCCCAAGACTCATCTTCTAGTTTCAAATCTTTGCCATTTCGCCAAGGTTTGAACAAAGAAAGCATAGTAGAACAGTAATATTCTCTGTCACCTTGATCACGGCGAGGTAAGCCTCCGCCAACAAAATTTGGTATAAGAGCACTCTCCTCATCAACAACAACTACCTTGTGTGTGCAATGTTGAGGGTGATCAGGTAGAAACTCTTGGCTATCAGGTTCATCATTGTAAAAATTTTCATAGTTGTTAAGTTCATCATCAGAATCTTCACCAAGCAATTCATCTATTGATTCATCTTCTATATCACATGTAGTTGCTCCACCACCTAAGAAATTGAGTTCATCTTCTCCTTCGGTAACTGATTCATCATCAGATTCAACTTCATTTTCATTTTTGTCATAGTGAGCATCGAATTCCTGCTGCTCCTCTTTCGTGTGTTTCTCTTTTTTTGCTTTTCTTATCCAGTCATATAAAGACATCTTCTCATAAGCAATAGGACGGTAAATATAATCATAAACATTTGACAATCCAATGTACATTCCCTCATATTTTTGCAATACTACTTTCTCTGGCATTTCTTTCTCATCAGAAACAGCTGACTTTGATGTGTCGTTTTCTGTTGTAATCATCCAGGGATTTCGAGCCTCTCTTACAAAATTTTTCCAATAGAAAAGAGTGAACTTGTTATGAGTCCTTACAAGTTTACGAGTAAGACTCATTCTTTATCAACTGAGGACTTAGGCAAATTTTTCATTCATTGATTCATTTACCTTTCATCACCGCGGGAACCTTTTCTCTTAAACAGAAAAGCAGCCATAAAATCAGGAAAAATGGTAAAAGAAATCAGCAAAAAATATGTAAAAAATCAGAATATTGTTTAGTAAGGTGGGGAGGCTGTGTTCAGGGTTCAGGGTCAATGTCTAAATATAGAAACCACCTAAAAGTTGCCAGAAAATCAGAAAAAAATATCCCAAAATTAAGAGTGATCTTCTCTGTTGCCATGGTGTTGAAGGGGCTGTGTCCAGTATTCAGGGTCCATATCCAAATATGGAAAATCAAGACAACTATGTAAAAATATTGTCATATTATGCAATATGGCTACAGCCTTCTTGCTCTTTGAGATATTGCATGACAATTTCCAAAAAGTGTCCAATTTTTTCAGTATTTTGTGTTTTTCTCAATGAGGAATGGTCTGCATGACATTATTTTTATATATCTATAAAGGTAAGGAAAGGGGCTACAATTGTTGTTTATGGAGCTAAGTGAGAGGCTGTGTTTCTGATACTGTGGGAAATTTAACCCAAAAAAGGAAATTCATCACAAATATATAGAGCATGCTATTATAGGTCACAAAATATAACTAACCATCCTCTTTCCTGAGATATATGCAAACAGGACTGTGGGAATATTTTACCATAAACAGAAAAATAGTTATAAAATTGGGAAAATTTGCTATAAAATGAAATAATAATAATAATAATAATAATAGCACACATTGTTGCTATGATATTGATGGCTAGGCTCAGAGCTCAGGGTCTATTTGCAAATATAGAACAAAACTCAGAAAATCGTAAAGTGATTACATGACCAATTTCCTAATATTAAATTTAGAGTCCACAGAAAGGACTCATACATGCCATGCAAAGCACTGGCCCACACCCACAAGTAAAGCTGATTAGCATGGACAAGACTGAAATCAAATGAAACGCACATAATCGTGCAGTATTGCAGGTTCAAACATTGAGAGAAACTCATCAACATTGATTGGCTTATCTGGAGAATTCCCAATAGAACCGAATCGAGAGCGTTTCCTAGGATTATCCTTGCCACCAGTTGCTTGGGAACCCTCCGCTTTGGGTCCCTTAGTGTCTACCTTTGATGAGCCAACCCTGGGTTTCTTCAAGTTTCCAGGATCACCCCTTCCACCCCTGTTGCCTGAGGTATTCCCAATAGGCTTCTTGACACCACTGTCTGTAGACTCATCTGATGATGACAATGAAGATTCTGGCAATGATGAGCTTCAGCAGAAAACAAAAGCAAAAACACAGCTCCTGCCTCACCTTCATCGTCGGTATTGTCATTGTCAGACGGTTGCACCTCAGGATTTGTTTTTTTCGCAGGCCTAGCTGGCGAATGCTCTAGAATACAGTAAACATTGATTTTTATCGGATCATAAATGCAAGAAAAAGGTAACATGTCAACCCACCAGAATCTTCGTCTTCAGATGACGATGATAATTCACTAAGGGCGCCCATCTCAATATCTTCTTTGCCTGAAAGATTTTTTCCCAACACATTGAGCGG